AGAGGGAAATTTTTTCCCAGTAAAAGTAGGCCTTAGACAAGGATGTGTGATGTCACCGTGGTTGTTTAATATATTCATAGATGGGGTTGTAAGAGAAGTAAATGCGAGGGTCTTGGCAAGAGGCGTGGAGTTAAAAGATAAAGAATCACACACAAGTGGGAGTTGTCACAGCTGCTCTTTGCTGATGACACTGTGCTCTTGGGAGATTCTGAAGAGAAGCTGCAGAGATTGGTGGATGAATTTGGTAGGGTGTGCAAAAGAAGAAAATTAAAGGTGAATACAGGAAAGAGTAAGGTTATGAGGATAACAAAAAGATTAGGTGATGAAAGATTGGATATCAGATTGGAGGGAGAGAGTATGGAGGAGGTGAACGTATTCAGATATTTGGGAGTGGACGTGTCAGCGGATGGGTCTATGAAAGATGAGGTGAATCATAGAATTGATGAGGGAAAAAGAGTGAGTGGTGCACTTAGGAGTCTGTGGAGACAAAGAACTTTGTCCTTGGAGGCAAAGAGGGGAATGTATGAGAGTATAGTTTTACCAACGCTCTTATATGGGTGTGAAGCGTGGGTGATGAATGTTGCAGCGAGGAGAAGGCTGGAGGCAGTGGAGATGTCATGTCTGAGGGCAATGTGTGGTGTGAATATAATGCAGAGAATTCGTAGTTTGGAAGTTAGGAGGAGGTGCGGGATTACCAAAACTGTTGTCCAGAGGGCTGAGGAAGGGTTGTTGAGGTGGTTCGGACATGTAGAGAGAATGGAGCGAAACAGAATGACTTCAAGAGTGTATCAGTCTGTAGTGGAAGGAAGGCGGGGTAGGGGTCGGCCTAGGAAGGGTTGGAGGGAGGGGGTAAAGGAGGTTTTGTGTGCGAGAGGCTTGGACTTCCAGCAGGCATGCGTGAGCGTGTTTGATAGGAGTGAATGGAGACAAATGGTTTTTAATACTTGACGTGCTGTTGGAGTGTGAGCAAAGTAACATTTATGAAGGGATTCAGGGAAACCGGCAGGCCGGACTTGAGTCCTGGAGATGGGAAGTACAGTGCCTGCACTCTGAAGGAGGGGTGTTAATGTTGCAGTTTAAAAACTGTAGTGTAAAGCACCCTTCTGGCAAGACAGTGATGGAGTGAATGATGGTGAAAGTTTTTCTTTTTCGGGCCACCCTGCCTTGGTGGGAATCGGCCAGTGTGATAAAAAAAAAATAATAATAAAGGAACGAGAGGTACAGGCCACTATGGATAGATATGTTGTGCGACAGAAGTCCAGTGACTGAAGCTGGTCCTAGTGGCATTAAAAGAAGAAGGGAAGCAACCCCAGAAAAGGACTTGACACCTAATGGAAGGGGATTCCCCTTCTAAACACTAAAACCATCCAGTCTCCCCTCCTCCCATCCCATCAATCATCACCACATCTTCAATAAAGGTGTCATGTAACTGTGCATGTTTTCTTAAGTTTGTGTGTATTAAAATTAATATTTCATGTGGTAAAAAAAATTTTTTTTTCATACTTTTGGGTGTCTTGCACGGATTAATTTGATTTCCATTATTTCTTATGGGGAAAATTAATTCGCATAACGATAATTTCGCATAACACTGAGCTCTCAGGAACGGATTAATAGCGTTATGCAGGGGTCCACTGTATTTGGTAGTAAAAACACAACCTTTACATCTGACTGCATGTCCACTAAAACTTCTGGATGAGTATGGGAATTATCAAAGAGTAAAAAGAACCTTGAATGCAAGGTTCTTCCTGCACAGGAAAAACATGACTTCGAAAATAAAGTGATGCTTAAATCATTCAATAAATAATTCCTCTGTCATCCACACTGACTAGTTTCACCTCCAAATAACTAGTAAGGCAATTTTATTTGTCCCTTTCAAAACACAGTCTTCGAGTGATAAATAACCAACGACTTACACTTAAAAATCACCTGATGCATTACCACAAAGTTGCAAGCTGAAGCAATCCTTTGAATCCTGATGCACTTTCCTTTTGCTGCCTGATGTAAGTTCTTGCTGACGTCTTCCAATAAAGACATGTTTTGTCAGCATTAAACACTTGACTTGTAGACACCCTCAGAAATAATTTCCTGTAATGTAGCAGGGAAATTCCTGCAGCTGTGTGGTTAGCAGAACATTCACCAGAAAATTTATTATTATGCAATTGCTGTGCAATGTGAACTTGTGGAACCAGTCTGTACTAAATAAGTACGTACTTGTTCAGGCACTTTTTCCTCATCACACGGCTTTATAGAGCTCTAAGGCTTTTTCCATTATTAAGATTAAATTAGGTGGTGCACTTTTCTTAGTTTTTAGTTCAATCCACTCAGCAACTTTTGATTAATACCTTGGGTATTAAAGTAATAAAAAGTATAGTGTATGTAGATGTATTTATCTTCAAGGAAGGCAGTGCTAGCATTCCTACATATATGATCTTAAGGTGACACTTCCTTCTGTCCTCGCAGGTCGCTGTTTGAAGACCAACATTTCATCCAGCGCAATCAGGAATTTAGTAATTAAGAAAAATTCCACAAAGAAATTAGCACTGGAATTTACACCCTCCTACAAGGGGGGGGGGGGGGGTATGGCAACAAACCCCACATGGGAGAGACTTAAATGCTTGGGGAAACACATTTGGGTACAAGTACACAACACGAGGAATTAGACGCACATCAAGAGTCAAAAGCTCGAATGTGAGGTTCTGCAGTGCAGGTAAAATATGACCAGAAATAGTACGAGACTTCAAACAGTAAACAAATAATTCCTCTGTCATCCGTGTTGGCTGCTTTGACAACCAAATAACAGGCAAAGTGGTTTTGATTTTCTGTTTTAAGGCACGGGGATTCTCCGAGCAATTAACAAGCATGGGTCTCCACTTATTGCATTAGTGCACAGAAGCAAAGAAAAGAGGCCCGAGGCACATGGAAGGGAAACTGGCCCACCTGTGCTGTTGTTAAGGCTGGCCACATCGGCACACAAGATTATAACAGGTAGAGCTGCCCCAAAAGGTGGCGACCTTTGGAGCGAAGGTTGGAAACAGATAAAAAAAAAAAAATCAAGAACAGATGTAACGTAGTACCTGGAGGCACAAAAGGTGGTGTTTTACTGTACTTTGATGAAACAATATGTATTATCTGTCCCATATACAGTACAGGGTTTACTTTCCACATCTCAAGACTGGACTGGACCACTAATGTTAGCCACAAAAAAATTAACAGAAAAACATTTGTTTAGTATCCTGAAAAAATGCTAATAAATTAATGCAATTTAAAGTATCAAACTCATAAATATGTTCATAATTCAGCAACACCAAGCCAACACTACAAAAATAAATATACAAGACAATGTAACTGATATAATGAAACAGAAGGCAACAAACCAACAACATGAAAACAAAATCCAAAATGTCTAATCACCACTGCAAAACTGACTACCAAAATAATATGCTTAATTTTGTCAGTTCTAGCAAGCAGCTTAATGCCAACCATCACTCATCACACTAATGTAATAACAATTAACATTAATTGGAACAGTAATACCAACCATCACTCATCACACTAGTCATGTTATAACATGATAGTAAACCACACTAACATATGAAGCTTCTTGAACATGAAATAAAGAAAGCCAGTTTAACTAATTAATCTCAATATGGTACAGTACTTGGAAAATAATGTATTAAACTTAAATATAATATATTCCATAATAGATGTCATGGCCACTATTTTCTCAGGCATATTGAACTCTTATTAACCCTTTGACTGTTTTCGACGTATAAATACGTCTTACGAGCCAATGTTTCTGACGTATATATACTCAATAATTCTAGCGGCTTCAAATCAAGCGGGAGAAAGCTGGTAGGCCCACATGTGAGAGAATGGGTCTGTGTGGTCAGTGTGCACCACATAAAAAAAATCCTGCAGCACACACTGTGTAATGAGAAAAAAAAAAACTTTGAGGTGTATTTTCGTATAGTATTTATCGTTGTATTCGCGTTTTCATGGTCTTAGGTGATAAAATGGAAAACATATTACAGAAATAGAGATGATTTTCATTACTTTGACGATGAAAACGACCTTGAAACTGAGCTCAAAGTAGCAGAAATGTTCGATTTTTACCAATGTTCAGGAGTAAATAAATCACACCACACATCCAATACACGTCAACTGGGGAGTCTAATATTCTTTCACTAGTGCACTGATATTATTTATACCATTTTTACAATAATGCAGTAGTCTGCATAACAGTAAATTTTGTATTTTTTTGAATGAATAAAAAATCAAAATAGAAAGCAATAATAATATAAGAGGGGCCTAGATATGTGACTAATGAACATAGCATATGTTATTTTAGTGCCACGAATGTCCACCTTGTTTATTCTGGACCCTATTTTGAAATTGGCATCTTTTTTAGTTTGTGTGAAATTGGCCAAATTGCCAATTTCTGACCACCATATTAGGTAGTCCAAATTAGTAAATGGGAGGTTTCTTGTGCTCAGCTGATAGATAAAATGGAATTCTAAAGAAATAGCTATGAGTTTGGTCAACTGGAACAATGGAATTGGCTGAAAATAGGGCTCAAAGTCGGCGAAATCGCCGATACGTATATGTCGCCGAGACCGCTAACTTCGTGGAGCATAATTCCACGAGTTTTCGACCAAATTTCGAACTTTTGGTGTCATTACCATCGGGAAAAGATTCTCTATCATTTCATAAGAATTTTTTTTTTTTTTTTTTTTTTTTTTCAAAAAATTGAGCGACATAGAATGAAACAGTCAAAGGGTTAATTAAGTTCTAAAATGTTACATATTAAAAGTCTAAATACCTTAAATAATAACCTTTAACAGGTAGAGTATATGTTACATAAGGACAACTACCTTTTTGTAAATTAATGGTCCATCAGAATTTTAAGTTGATCTTTGATGAAGTTAACAATGATTATTCAAGAAGCTACATAATCACCCACAAAAGTCAACACTAACGTAACATAACACACGGCTACTTACTGAGTCCCCGCTTAATCCATACTGGCTTTCTCACTTTGATGAAGAGGAGGTAAACTGGGATACCAGTAGAAATAATTCCAACACCAATACCTGTTGAAAGTTGAAATTTATTATATCCTGATTATTTTTCATGAATACAACATTCATTTAAAAGAGGGAGAATAGGTCCAATTTCTTGGATCAAGTGCCCACCAGCATCAAGGCACCTCCACTTATGCACTGAATACCGTATTGTACTAAATTTGGTAATAATACAATATAAAGATATGAAGTATATGAATTTAGTGGTGCAATGAAAAATTAAATTGATGAAGTAGAAAAAACATTCGTTACCATACTGGTGTGCACGAGGTCAACCAAATAATTAGAAAACCAATAATACAAAAAACCATGAAGATAAAAAGGAATAGGCAGCAAAGAAAAAATGGCAAAACAGAACTGAAAAGAAATTTTCATATTTAAAAATGGCACACATTAACTCAGAATGAAACAAGGTATGATAAGTACTTATTACACTAACAATGACTTTCGGTTTTGCACATACATCCTCACGCCATTTGATACTTTATTACCCATTCAACTTTTCCATGCCAAGTAAATGAACATTAAAACCTCAACACTTATCTACAAAACAAAACTACACTGTTTATTCTTAAGTCTTCTGTATGACATCATAGTTTATAAAACATGGCATTTTTTTCCATACTCATTCCTTTCCCTCCAGAGACTGATCCCTCCACTATGGACTCAAAGACTGTACTACCTACACTCCAGACTTCCTTACACTCAAAAGAGACCGTTCTCTTCCCATCTTCCACCCAAGACTTCTGCCAAAATTCTAAACTTTCCTCCCTACATTCCATTGTGATTCTTCCCAATATTCCATACACTTCTTCCTCCACTACAAAGTCACCTCTTTCCATTCCAGATAGTCCCCTCTCCACTTCACAAACTCTTCCCTACACTTTACCTTTGAGCTTTCTCAACTTAACTCATAAATATTTCCTGTGTAATAATGAAGAGAGATTAAACCAATATAATGCTGCCCTACTAAGTAATCATAACTATGTAGGGAAAAAGCCTAAACTCTTGTATCTTTACCAAGTCATATATCTGCTCACATTTACTTTAGCTTAAAGAATTCAGTACATTACCAGTTTCAATAGGTGCTGCCACCATGGGTACTATGGTAATGAGTATAGTGGCAATGATGTATAGGACAGGCCAGATAAGATTCACTTTGATGGGCCTTTCCAACTCAGGAGCTTTCCACCGTAGCCATGGCACACACAGCACAGCGAGGCCAATTGATACCTGGGAATGTAAACAACACTGAATTAACCTAAAATAATAAGAGAGACTGTACATCACTGTGCAATGAACCTTAAAAATAATTTTTCCACCCATCACTTCTTCCATGCAAATTGTCATAAAACTAATAGAAAATCTGTGTGTATCTTCCTGTTCAATTAGTACATTCATGTAAAATTAGTTTTTTCTTAAGTGCTGTCCAAGCAGTGATAAAACCTTGTATTTATGCTAGAGCAAAGATGCCATAAAAAATAGAAGATTTATTTCAAATTTTCAAGCATTTGTATATTTAAAGTTGTTTAGATGGAGGAGGGTTCTTTGTCCATGTAACTTTCCCCAAGTTCTACTGAGAACATAGCATCATTTATACATTATACTGAAACACACACAAATGCTAACAATATGAATACAGATGAATTAAATACAGAGTAGAACTTTAATACAGTACTGGATATATATACTATAGTATCAACGTGGGCATATACAAAGTTTGCTAGATTTACAAGATAATTTAGCTGGAATTAAGACTTGTACAAGAAATATTACAATTAACCAAAATTCTGAATATAAAGGAAGCAACTTCTCTTATATCAGAATACCATATGCAGGACATATGATGAATGATCAAATCTACAAATGCTACAAGAAGCTGCAACTAACAAACTTCTTGTTCCCTGATTCAACTTAACCCCTAGCTAGACAACAATGGCTAATACTATCTCACCACAAACCCATAAGTCATTAGACTTGAATATGAGGTGTTTAGAACCTTCACTTACCCAGGTAGCAAAGCCAACGTAGGAGATAAGAGCAAATATGTTACTTGAGCCCAAATAGACAAGACTGAGGAAAGCCATGAACAACACTGCAGGGGTTGGGGTCATCCGCTTAACCTGGATCATTGTCAGAATCTCGGGCATCTGGCCTTCCATAGCACCAGCATAAAAGAGCCTATGGAAAGTATACATGGTTAGAAATATATCTCAGTAGTGCACAGTAGTATAAAATAATGCATATTCTTGAGACATTCAGTGCAAAATCTATGCCTAATGAACCTATAGTAGCATTTTTCCTATTCAAAACTAAATTTATGAAAACTGGCATACAGTGTTGCTACTCAAAAATATTATTAATAGAATAAAAATTTCCAATGAGTTTCCAGGCATTTCCTATATATTTAACTGTACTACTAATTAATCAGTGAATATGATATAAAAGTGATAGAAAAACAGGAAAGAATAAGTAAACTTGTAAAGAGCAATTTCATAAGCAAAGATAATACAAGAAATTTATTTGCTGAAGCAATATAGGTGAAATAAACATGCTAATAAATTACTGTGCTAGCTTCTCTTCAAATAAAAAGGTGCATCCAGGAGAAAAGAGAAGCGTGCAGTAATACTGCCAGAATTTATATTTAGTAAACAGAAATGTAAACCTAGTGACCTACCTGAAATCTTTAGTGTATTACACTTAACTCAAAATGCAATACAACAGCAGAGGCTCGATTAAACTATAAGGATCTGCATCGTGTCACACCACAACTGCAGTGCAGAGACTTTCCCCAGGCTATACTACATGCCAACTAAATCCTCAAAACATAAGAGGCAGCAGATTACTCAGTCTGATGGTGATAGTTACACAATGTGTGGGTTATGGTATTTTATTAGAAGACATTTTGTTTACTAGGGATGTCATAAATTCATACAAGTAAAATATTAGTTTATATAGTAACTGATGAGACGTCCATACAGTGTGGTGTTCAGCATGGTTTGTGACGGGAATGAGATCATCTGCGAGTCGGTGAGGTCTCAGTGTTGATAGATCTGTCAGTTTTAGTAAAACCATCTTTGTTATAACCTCAGAGATGATAAAAGACCTTTAGATTTGTGAAACAGCACTGATAGTAGTGATTAAAAGTGATTTCAAACAGTCTGCTATGTCAGTCTGCTGCTTTGATAACTAAACTTTGTTCAGGGAAGTTTATCAGAAGCACTATAATGTACCATGCATGGGTTACTAGTGTCATCCTTCTAGCAAGCATATCTGTATTGTTTGATGCTAGCGTTTAAGTCTGAAGTTTCCCCTCGCATAAGATTTATTACAGCCTTCGAAAGATAGACCCTGTCATGTTTGCTGATTTAATCGCCCTTTTGATTACATGCCTGATGGTACTGGAGGTTATTTTTGGGGACTAATGTTGGTTTTAGCTACACAACACCAGATTGGTGCCCAAAGATGAATACATATACCTCCCATAAACAAATTAGTAATCTAGCCAGCAATTAGCCAAATCTAATATTATAGTCACAGATTTCAATGCCATCAGGGACTTAGTCAAAAAGGTGACTAAACTGGAAATCGACCACTGAGGTGCTCTGCATCGTCCCTTGCGGAGGATGTGATAAATTTAATATGGGGACAGTTCCAAGGACCTGAACACTAGAATAAAGGAACACAGTTATGCTTGCCAGAAGAACAACACTAGAACCATATTCAAAGTACATCATAACACTTGTAACCACCTTTAACAAGATTAGCCATAAAAGAAGCAGACTGACATAGTAAACTGTTTGGAATCTACTTAATCAACATTACCAATGCTACTACATAAAACTTAGGGTGTTTTGTTGTCTCCAAGGTTTCATTAAAATTGATCACACCTAAAACTAACACTTCATCCCCATGACCTCACCACCTTGCCATAGACCACGCTGAATTCACTCTACACATCACAGACTTTGCCTCTGCTACTATATAACCTCATGATTTACTTTTCTCTGTATGAACTGATAGTCCTTTGGTGAGCAAAACATCTTGTAATAAAATACCATACCTCCACAGTGTCATAATCACTGTACTGTTAGTATATATAAAGATTTTACATATCCTTATTCAGGCTACGGAGCACCATGTATTACATACCCACTTAGCCTCAGAACACAACACCCACTTAATAGTACAGCATTACTTACCAGAACAGTAAACAGACTTTTCACAGAAGCAAACTCCAAAATTCAAAAAACCACTTCAAAAGAATTCCACTCAGAAATAGCAGCTCTCAAACAAATTCCTTTGGTAAGGAATCTAAAATAAGAAGCATCACACAATAAATTATATATGATAGTTTCCAAATGAGTGCTTTGTACAAGTGAATTAAACTATGTGCATTACCTATATCTAAACAACCCCAACACTGCAACAACTACAAACTCATATTCACCAACCATGAACGAACAGAAATAATTTAGTGCAACCATGCAAAATCTTCCCATAACCAAACTTGCAATAATTTACACCAAGACAGACTGTAGTTATAACACTTGTATTGCCTCCAAGCACAACACTTACAGCTGCACAACTCCAAAACAAAACCTGTGACCTGCACATTTTATATAAAATTTAGAGGCATGTTATCTCATAATTCAACATACAAACAGGAAATATTGCCCAGGGAATAATTTATGATGGATTGATTTATATTTATCTAAGGCCAACATAACATACAAAACAGTATTAGTTTTCTTTTTAAAGCAAGGTTTATGAAAGTTAGTCAATAATGAAGTTTTCTTTGTGTCCACATTTAACCTGAAGTATTAGTTTGCTACAGAACTTACACCTTCAACACACAGTGGCTTGTAAATTAAAACAAATTACCCTTCAAGGAAGGAAGGATGGAAATGGGGTGCTATAAATTTGGTGGAGGGCTCTTGATGTAAGAAATTAGAGTAACCCTCCTTTTCCTTGGACCAAGGTTGCCCTCCTACTCCCCAGGCACTGTACGACTTACAGGTTTGGCACTTTCCATGAATGTAATAATTAAGCAAATTAAATGCCAATCGATCACTGTTAATAATCATCAGAATCTTCTGCTTGCATAGGAAGTTGAGACAACAACAGTTAAGACACTTTGTATCCCACATCTCACCAATTTATACATAAATATTTTAGAGTGCAGTAATGTAGAACATATCACCAAGGCACAGTAAAGCAAACAAAAGCATTGTTAATTAGAAATGCAGCTACTGAATATTTGTTAGTCAAGGATAAAAAAGTTAGGCAAAGATGATTGAGTGAGAAAATACTGTAATGCAAAATTGACATCTTCAAACAGTATTTAAAAAAAATCCACAGTATTTTTTGTAAGTGAGAGTTTAAATTAAATAAATATTTAAATATATACATGTACATATAATATATATAGATTGTATATCTTCTTTCAACAAACCGGCCGTATCCCACCGAGGCAGGGTGACCCAAAAAGAAAAACTTAAGTTTCTCTTTTTAACTTTAGTTGTCTATACAGGAGAAGGGGTTACTAGCCCCTTGCTCCCGGCATTTTAGTCGCCAATTATGACATACATGGCTTACAGAGGAAGAATTCTGTTCCACTTCCCCATGAAGATAAATTGTATATATAACTACTAAAACAGATACATATTTAATGAAGAATGGCCAAACTGTAGCTTGTGAGACATGCGATTCATCTGGCCACTGAATGCAGCTCATCGAGACAATATTCAGAAGAGACAGCATACCCTGACGTTATCTCACAAGCTGCACTGAATGAACAAACAAGCAGCATCAAGCCAAGGCTTGGCCACACCTGCTATTTAAGCTTCACTCCTTATATACTGTACTTTGCTGAATAAAGCCCAAATTATGAAAGAATATTGTATCTGAACTGTTAAACTCTCACTAACAATTAAATTATATTGTAGAAATTTTCAAAATAAAAAATATACCCTTAAAAAACTTTTTTAATAGAAAAATATAACTATCTTTAACTATGTTTGAGATCTCTCAGCAAAAAGTCCCATAAAGCATTATTACAAATTTGGGCTGAAGGTTAAGCCAACCATCACAAGCAGTGTTGTAAAATTTAGCTTAGATCACTTTTCTAGGTATGATATCAGAAAGTATCAAATATATAGTCAGATTTAAAAATAAAAAGAATCAGAAGAGGGAAACTTTAAATCACCTTAATATAATGTTCACAATTAGTTTACATAAAGTGTATATTCTTAACTACTTAGTTGTGTAATAATATTTATAGTATAAGTAATCTCATATTCACAATGAACAAAATACTTGATGAAGTTCTAAAAGTACAGTGTTACTATAGCCAGTAATTAACCCTTTGAGGGTTTTGGTAGTACTAGTACGTCTTACGCGTAGGGGTTTTTGACGTACTAGTATGCATAAATTCTAGCGGCCTTAAATCTAGTGGGAGAAAGCTGGTAGGCCTTCATATGAAAGAATGGGTCTATGTGGTCAGTGTGCACAGTCTAAAAAAAATCCTGCAGCACACAGTGCATAATGAGAAAAAAAAACTTTGACCATTTTTTTGGAATAAATCAGCGACTTTGCAGTGTATTTTCGTATGGTATTTATTGTTGTATTCTAGTTTTCTTGGTCTCATTTTATAGAATGGAAGACATATTACAGAAATTGAGATGATTTTGACTGGTTTTTACAATGAAAGGTGCCTTGAAATTGAGCTCAAAGTAGCAGAAATGTTCGATTTTTACCAAACTTCAAAAGTAAACAAATCGTGCCAAGCGTGCAATACACGTCAACTGGTAAGTCTAATATTCTTTCACAAGTCCACCAATAATATTTATACCATTTTCTACACTAATGCAGTAGTCTGCATAACAGTAAATCTTATATTTTTTGCGAGAATAAAAATTCAAAGTGGAAAGCAAAAGAATATAAGAGGGGCCTTGAGACGTGACTAATGACTAGAGGAAATGTCATTTTAGTGCCAGGAATGTCTTTCTTGTTTATTCTGGACCCTATTCGGAATTTGGCATCTTTTGAAATTTGTGTGAAATTGGCAAAATTGCTAAATTCTGACCACTGTACTGGATAGTTGAATTTCATAAATGGGTGGTTTCTTGCACCCATTCGATAGAAAAAATGGAGTTCTAGCGAAATATTCATGTTTTTTGTCGACTAGTACAGTGAAATAGGCCGAAAATGGGGCTCAAAGTGGGCAAAATCGCCGATGCGTAAACATCGCCGAGACCGCTAACTTTGCGAGAGCATAATTCCGTAAGTTTTCTATCAAATTTCAAACTTTTGGTGTCTTTATGATCGGGAAAAGATTCTCTATCTTTTCATAAGAGAAAATAATTTTTTTTTTTTTTAAATTTGGCCGACCCTGAGAACGAGTTTCGGAGAGGGCCTGTCGACCCTCAAAGGGTTAATAGTCACTGGCAGTAAAGCACAATACAAAAGCAATTAGTGCTTTTGGGTAATAATTATAGTAATAACAATGTAAAAATATTGAAATACATAAAAGATATTGAAACAAGTTACAAGTGCTGTAATATTAGAACTCCACAGTTAAAGGTTTAGTAACATAAATAAGGAGACTGGTGGTAGTTATAAAGGAAATACAATGATTGTCCCACTGTTTTCTGAATTGGAAGAGGACATTCATTGAAAACATGATACTAGAACATTTTAGGATGTAATAAGAAAAATTAAGAAAACTTTTTTTTTTTAATTATTTCATTGTATGTACTAGATTAGTTATCCCTTGAAGTATTAGACGATTCTTTGAAGAAAAATAATGCATGGATTTAGGGACTTCATTGTGAATATAATAAAAATACTTCATAAATAGGTAGTAATGACTGCATAACGAAGTGATTTACTGGAAATCATTATACGTATTGTACAACATGTACAGAAATCTCCTTACATAACACCAGTCACCCTATTTATGTCTTTGTACAGTAATTACTTAACAAAATTAATCATACTGCACAAATCTAAAATGTTCACTGGAAACTCAGCAACAAACAATACAAACTGTGTGTATGTTAATGTAAAACAAATACACACACACACACACGAGCTGGAGTTTGATCCCCACAAACAGTTAGGTGATTGTATACATACACAAGCTCACATATACACTTGTACACAAAAGTCTATTAAAAAATACCAGCAGACAAAACATTTAATAATTTCCACACATTTTCTAATACATGTTGTACATTACACTGTACTCTATTTGATAATTCAATGTAATATTACTAATGGACATCAAAACACACTCAAATTAATGCACATATTTCTTTATATAATTTTCACAGATGCTCGGTATTATATGAAAAGAAAGGTTGAGGTAATTATACCTAAACTTCTCATATAACACCTGCTACATATGTTAGTCAGCAAAAGCTTACAGTGAGCAACTGTTCTACAATAACAAGTACTTTATTGGTCAGTGTATTACCATTGCCAAAGGAAAACAGCATTAATTTTGCAATATGAATTCTACTGACGTAAAATAATAATACCAATTCAAATATTACTGTACTACAAAACTGTATTTTTAATTTATTCCTAAAGTATTAAATTACTGAGTGCAAACATTTATATAACTTCTCTTAATATGATTAAATCCGTTTTACAGCAAGTTGATTTTTGCTCTAGTTAATAAATATTAGTCATACCATACCATCTATGGTTTTCCTATAAATGTTTACCAAGCAAATGAATATAATAAAACACTTATTACACAATGTAAGCCAATGCTTTTCTAAACATTTGTTAGAGCACCTCTCGAGTTGTTCCAAGGAGTTCAGGCGGGTCTCCTGGTTTACCTCGAAGATGTGAAGAGGATGCCATTCACGGAGCCAAACGTGGAGAGAGCCACGAATATTGGGACGAGGAATTCCACTGGCCGGTATAGGCGATCAGCAAAACTCTGTAATACCAACGACCAACCCAATGATCGATAAAATCCAAAAATCCAAGGGTGTAAAGTGGATAAAAGGGTAGGGAGGTCATCAGGGATCACAGGAATATACGGACAGAGAAACCTGAAGTTCTGATACACATACCCAGTTGAAGCAAGACTTCACCAGAATGTGGGAAGAAATAAAGAAATCCAATGTGAGGTAGTTTTTTCAAAGTGGAGCCTGGGCCACAATAGCCATGTCATACTTCGGTGTTGTAGAACGTGTTACCAGTAGTTTTGCAACAGTTTTCAAAATAATTTGTGCTATCAACTGCAAAGCTATAATCAAATAAAATGGATGCAAGTTGCCTTTTGTATCAATAAGCTAAAATTTAATTAATTAGCACATGCCTACTTAATGATCTATAGTAAACACAGTTTTCACTGACTCTGTATACTGTACTGTATGATGAATTTTTCACAATATAAATGAGCTAGGAAATACTTTAATAGGCATGCTATAAGCAACAAATACTAACAAGTTCTACTTAAGTAGGCAGCTGCTAAATTATGAAAACAAAAGAAAATGGGTGACAACCATTGCCAGTGATGGAGCGTTCTCGTCCATTTGAATAAATACAAATTAAGAGTGAAGCTGGGCATGGAAGCGTTATCCCATTAACTGTTGTCTGGTCCCGGAACAGTTGACTGGTCTAGCACTGCCTGAGTGAATAAAGCATTCTAAATCGGATTATATACCTGGAAGACGTCAGTAGCACACCGTTGACTGCTCCAAAGGTTGAACAGGCGACGAAAAATGGCATAATCCAAGCCATGTAACCGTACAATCTATTTGCAAAGGTCTGTGAAAACAAGGGATGTTAAGAAAGGGAGGAAATGCAGTATATGTAGGAAGGTGTTGGTTGATCTCATGTAGCCCAGGTTTAACCACTGCTAGGCCAGTGTTTTGACTTGCAGAAGTCATGAGCAAGTTTCCTGTCATCTCTCTGAAGAAAAACAAAAACTAGCAATGTTGGCTAACAAAAAAAAAAAATATATAGAAATTTATAAGAGTTAAGTGACCCCATATGGGTTCAGCCTCTCCTTTGTGAGTACAGAAATATTAAAAATAATAATAATTAATATAAATTATATAAAGTACTGTACTGTACCATGTCTGTGCAGCTAATGATTATGTTAAGTATAAAAATATACTTAAGAACAGCACATTCCTTTTTTGGAATGTTGAATATTTTGCTATTGCAATTCAATATCATAGTGCAGTTAGATATTCAGCAGATGACAGATTCAGCAAGGGTTTTATATAGCTTGGCCACCTCGACTAACAACATGCGATTATTCACTTTGGGGCATTGTGAAGATAATTTCCCAATTGTAACTAGCAAATGCTAAAGACCCCTAAAAGAAGCCATTGTAACTACTACTTTTATGTCCAAACTTTACTGGGTAAAAAGAAAAAAAAAAGTAATAGAACAGAGGGCAATGTTCCAGTATATACGTGCTGCAATTCCACTGCAAAGGAAATTTATGCCTACCTTTACATGTAGGGTAATAATCCTAGTGTACTGAAGCTAGTCTCTCTCTCCCATTAAAAATACTGTATACACCATCTTATTCCTGTACTGTAAACCAATACACTATCTAATGCATACTGTATGTGCACATATATTCCTTACTTCATACAAATAGACAAAATATTTACACTGTTCTACTGAAAACCTGATCAAAAGTACACACATTTTGTCGATATAACAGGGTTAGCTAAAGCAATCCTAGTGTCATTCTTACTTCAGTGAGGGTACTCGAAAAATAGAATCAGGTGTGCACACAGCTGGTCCTGTGGTCATATAATGAACACAAACTGTTTATGAAATTCCACCCTTTTAATACAAATTAAATCCCAAGGATGAAGCGACAAGTATGCATGTATATTTTTGGACATGATTGCATAATGCTGGGGGTCACAAATGTCAAATAATTTTTGATTTGACAAAATAATTAAGCTTGTGGTACAATGACACTCAAATATATGAACAAAAACAAGTTTTACTGAATTCTGCTACCAAGCAGAAAATGAAGCAAGAGATGTGCCACAATTATCCCTATAAACTGCCAATAAATTTGTCACAGGCATTAATTTCATCAGTGCTTATAAAAATAAATCACTGGCAAAATCAATATAAAAATAAATCATTGGCAAAAATCAATATAAACTCTCCAGTAGTTGCAGCACAATGGGCTCCTTTTAAGAGCTAATTCCAGTAGTCTACAATTACAGTATTTGTGAGGAAGCAAAGCAAATCTCCACTGTTTATTACACCATTGAATTTACTGGATAAAAGCTGTTATTGTACCTCAGCTCCTTTCAACCCCAGCCCTAATCATCTAAGTTATGCTACCAACCCCCTTTCTTCCCGTGATACAACCATCATCAGTCAGCTAAGTACATGTACCTATTTACAGCTAGGTAAACAGGGGCAACCGATGTAAAGAGTTGCCCACAAGCCTTTGGTTTTGATCCAAAGATGCTACAGTACTAATGAACTACAAAACAAGCCTATTATGAACATTCACAAAAACGAGCTTGAGGTGGAACAAATTCATACTAGCAATTTTTTAATTATCAACAATACAATTCTTTCCACTTCTTCGAGGAAGATTTATTACGAAATTTTAATATTAAAGCCATATAAACAATATTTAAAGTTAAAAAGGGCCTGTGAAGTTTTGCACCAGGACTCACATTATACTGTAAACTCTGTTTCATTTCTCACTACTGCTACACAATGTACAATCATGTATGTACACCCATGTATATGTATACTCATGTACATGTACACTCATGTGTGTGTATACTTATACTATACAACCATAAATAAATTAATATAAATATCCACTAATAAACTTCCACATATGGTAAGTAAACTGTGAATATTGCACTTTGCAGAATAAAAGTCACAGTACCATGGCTGGAACATTTCAAAACTAACCTACATTTTTTGAGAGGAAATTATCCTCTCAGAGGTGTTACCTGCAAAAAATTTCAAGGGTCATTGCCTCCATTGCCCAGTCCCAGGCCAGGCCTCCCAGAGCATGTGAATTAGTTGTAAATGCACTTTGTTAACTCCCAACTGCTGTGTCCTCATTGTTTTGTTTAGTAGAGTGACACACTAGTTTTATAATGTACTGTTAAGGTACATATTGGTGGCAGATTTAACTGTGATGCATAAACACTGAATGAAAGCTAAAAGTCACTTTAAAAAGAAAACACAAAAGGTTCTGTAACTTGTAATTTAATTATGTTCACATCTGCAGATACAGTGAACTGCTCTATTGTGATGCAGTTCAGATGGGCTTGTGAGGTCTCTAGGGAGACCTAATTATATGGTCACACCTGCCTTAGTAAATGTCGGGTAGTCACGCCCACGTCTGAGGTCTTTTGTTCTTGACGGCTTCAGACCTAGGCGTCAGGTCGTACATGTGGTTGTGGAGGGTGCTTGGACCACCATAAAAGCCCAAGGAAGAGCATGATCATGAGATTCGAGCGGAGCTGCTGCTGGGGTGCAGAGCTCCTGAGCAGAGATTCGAGCGGAGCTGCTGCTGGGGTGCAGAGCTCCTGAGCAGAGACTTCGAGCGGAGCTGCTGCTGGGGTGCAGGGCTCGGGAGAAGGCTGCTGAAGTCTCTGGAGGAGACTGTTGGAGGCATGGGGCAGAGTACTGGCTTGGCGCATTACTCGTGCTGTATAGGTCTTGGGACCTGTGGCTTAGTTCCTGTAGTGAACTGTCCTCTGTGCTATATTGTAAGTTATATTCATTTTCGTCAAGTTGATTGTATTTCCCTGTCTCACTGCTTATGTGTACCACCCCATTTATCTAAACCACAATAATGCTCTGTACAAAGACTTAATAATAAACTGTGTTTGAGTAGAATAGTAATATTCACTGCCCACCGTTATTTATTCTTTTTTCTTATATTTTATTATGTTTATATGAGTGAAGAATGGGCGAGGCATATGTTAGTGAGTAGTGTAGAGTTAATGAGAGTGTCGTGGTGGTCACCACTGACCTGTCATTACCTACCTACCTCCGCTAATCATCTCACTCCTACCACCTCGCCTGCCTCTCCCCTGCCTACATAATCCCTTACTCCCATATTCCCCACTTATATCCTATTCAATCATTACCCCCCTACATGACACTATTACTGAGCAGTCGCAGTGAGTATATCACTAACCAGGAAGACGAGCTAACTATAGTAGCTTATATTTAGTTATTATTAATGGTACATTTAAAGGGGAGCACAAAACATGTCACATAGCACCTGGGAAATGGGAGACAACTGGTTTCCATATAGGGAAAATTACTCCAAGTTCTTGGATCAAGATCCCTTCAAAGTGAACATAAATGTGAATACAACTCCAATGATGAGCCTCATCACCTGTATTGCTATATTAGAAAACATGTATTAAATCAGTATACACATACTCTTAAATAAGCCTTGATCAAATACTGTATAATACTGTACTTATCTACCTACATCTTTGAATCCTTGTGGGCTTGGTCTTAAGAATTCCTTACTACCCCTTCCTCTTCCTCACTTTTGGACTATCAGAGTAAAACATGAACCGGGTAGAGCCTATGGCTCTGGTGGACAATTACACGGATTAGGTCTATCATCGCAATCCGAACCCACATTCCACTTATCTACCACTCAATGCTAAATGTCTCCACTACACCCCATCCGTAATATCTGTTTCTGGTCTCCCTATACTCTCGCCGGTTCCCTGGAGATACCTGGAGGGGGGTTCGGGGGTCAGCGCCCCTGCGGCCTGGTCTGTGACCAGGCCTCATCCACAATTTCTACATCACAACTTTCACACCCTTCATCACAGTCTTTATTATCTCCAGCTCCACAATATTACTTTCGTGCCTCATATGTGGAAAATTGCATTTAACTGAATGTATCATTATGTACATAACAGTAAATGAACACAGATAATTATTATTTATCAGTTAGACAAGTAGGAATTTGGGACACCTAGGTCGCAAAAAATGTCTCCCTTCAATACCTACCACTGTCATATCCACAAGTTGCTCTGGACCTATTAATTATAAATGATTTGTATCACCAGGAATGCTGGTAAATATATAAATTTGTGGACTGTATATTAAAAATAATAAATGATTATATACACATATATACACATTTACACAACAGGAGAATATATCTTAATCATAACACTCGCCAATTTGACTAGAGATTAATGTGTCATGTACAGGAACCCCCCCCCCCTTTTTGCCTACATTTATGAAGAATTTACTGGCCAGAAATTAAACATAAATTAGACAGCTTATCTGAGGTTCCTGGAGTTGTCCTGTCCTGTCGCTGATATCTCAAATTATTCAGGAATGCACATCCAACAATTTCGCCTCTTATTTGAGAGGTGTCAGCCCAATTTTAACCTCTAGAGCACGAAAAATTCTTCCCATTATTCACAACATGTTATTCAATTCAAACAAAATAGCGACCGTCGTCTGCGCAGGCACAGGTCCAGTTTCCCATTTTCGATAACATACTTCTTTTAAAAATACAATATAGGGCATCTATTTACCTATAAATTACCGTATTTCCGGAAAATATACAGTATTTTCCACATCATAGTTCCCCATTTTATACTTACCAGACCTCTCCCTGATCTTAAAATAACACATTCATGCTTTATCATTTCTTGGCCTATCTCAGCATCCCCATCTTCCTAATTAAAATTCCAGGGTAAAAGCCTGACCATTGTTTTACGTGTATACAAAAGCTGAGGAAGTTGGTTTAGCACAAGATCCTCGTG